CAGAATCAAACTGATATCGGTAGAAGCTGCATTTACAAGTCTAAAAATCAATATAATTTTTATGTATTTAAGACTACCATTGGCACAAAACCGGACGGAAGCCATCAGTCCCAGTCAATTTTAGAAAGCAATGCACAGGTATTGAAGTAAAATTTAGAAGTTTAATGTGAAAGGAAGCGAGCTTTAAAAGTATAGCATGAAATCATACTTCCACCATACTAGTCCTGCCTAAACGAGTCTAATAACAATCATACAAAATAACTTACCAAGTTAAAAGGTAGACGAACTTTAGTTGTAAAGGCGTCGCTTTTTTTTCCTATAAGAATAATAATAATCACGTAAAGGCACAACAGATTTGAATGACTTGAAGTTGGAAGATATAGAACAATGATATACCTCTCTATGTGAATGGAATCCATCAATGTCTTTATTTCCCCTTCCCTGCTGATCATGTTTTATTTGGTAGCTTAAAAAAGAACACATTTTCTGCTTCACTGAGCTATTTTCTCTATAAACTAAACTTGTGGAAATGTGTGGTTATGTGCCCAGAACAACATCATTTTTATTGTACTGATGGTGAATGACCTAAAGAACCTTTTGGAACTGTATGAAGAGTACAAGTTTTATGATATATTTGTTAATGAGATAGGATATTGTGACACACAAATAATGTTACGCACAATGTTACGACCACATCTTAATCGTTGATTTCCGCCAATCAACGGTTATCATTTATTGCGAATTAATAATTAATTAATGAATTTGATTTGAAAAATGATAACCGTTGATTAGCGGAAATCAACGGTTAATATGTGGTCGTAATATTGTGCGTAACATTATTTGTGCGTCACAATATCCTATCCCTTTGTTAATAGTTTAATAGTTTACTTATAGTTTAACAATAGCACTTTAATAGTTTACTTAATTAATTATATGTTTATTATTTTTTTAAGGCTTTAATGTTTCTAAAATGAATATAGATAAGTTATCTACATTCACTCCCAAAACGACATCGTTTTGAATTAAAAAATTATAATAAAAAAGACTATTATAACCCAGGAATAAATTATAGCCTCAAAACGATGTCGTTTTGAGCTCAATGTAGATAAACTATCTACATTCACTTTAGAAAAAGCGAACCCTTTTTTTAATTATATATTTGCAGGGTGTGCCACTTATGATCATGAAGGTTTCAAAAGTGAAATTCCTCACAAAGCATATTTTTACCCCTTTTGGATTGGTTTGTTGGATCTGATGAAATATATGTTATTTTCTTTGAGTATTTTGCTTCCGAAAATGACTTAAGGGGGTGTTTAGTAGAGGGTTTTATTTGAGATTCCTGGGAAAGTGAGGGTGGTAATCGTATTAGCCCATGTTTGGTATTTCTTTCTGTAATTTTTTCCTTTCCCAGAATTTTCATTTGTGTGCTAAATATGACTGAAAATACCATCCAAGAATACCATATAGGGGATGGTATCCTTGGATTCCCAGGTGATGGGATAATTTTTCAAATATTTTTGGACCAAAATACCCTTCCTCTCTCCTTCCCTTCTCTTTGTTTGCTTCGTTAGTTGGTCTTGTTCATGTTCTCCTTCTCTCTCACCATTTACCATCTTTTTGCTTCATTAGTTCTGTTGCACTATGTGTCCCGCCATTCTCAACCAATGTTGTTTGGGATTTTTTTTCTTTGTTTTCATATCTAGATGCTGAGGTGAGGGGAAAATAAACAGAAAAAAAAAAGTTCGGTCCACTTTCTTTTTTTTCAAATTCTACCATCCCGAATATTTTTTCTTTGTTTTAAAATTCTGCCACTCATCTTCTTATACCTTCACCGTTGACAGAGAGTTGAGAGTTGAAGGGAAAATGAATATAACAAAAAAAAAGACTATGAACGGTAAAAAAAAAAAGCGAAGCTGAATAAACAAAAGATAAATTTTTGGTATTAAGGTTAATTTTGTAAATTCGGTTCACATTCCCAGTAATATTTTACAATCAACCAAACATAACATTATGAAAATTGGCCCAATATTCCTAAGAATATTTTGGCCTACCAAACAATTTTTTGATAATATTCCCGAAAAATTTACTTTCCGAGTATATTCTCGAGAATTGTGATTCCCGGGTAAAAAAAATTTGTCCTCTAGCTAACGCCCCCTAAATGCATATTGTGATGAGTTGTTGTTGTGATTCATGGTTTTGTTTAGACGTTGATATTGTGATTTTTGCTTTAGCAACAGAATTTGAGTATTTTGTGAAATTGTTTCATGGTTCTGCTTGAAAGTTAAAAATTAACAGGCTAATGAGACATGACAGACCATTTGTTTTTCTTATAAATGGGCTAAAGCAGACTAATTGTTAGACTCGTACTATGCTATCAGGCCATGGCAAATTGAAATTTTTTAGCATAGGCTTGGGCTTTTCATGACAAAGCTCGACCCAACCCAACCCACTTTCACCCCTAGTAGTGAGCCTCATCAACTCATTGCTTGGTTTGATGTGTGCAAGATTATGGCAGGAGGTCGACCCACTTATTCTTCTTCCGCAGCTAAGGGAGCATCATATACGATCAGTGCAACAATCGCTGCTAGTGTTACTGCAACTGTACACCAAATCATGCTAGAGTTTCAGGGGCAGGAGAACAACCGTAGGGACGTGCACCAGAAGTTCCCGCAGATAATGGAGAGCGCAGACAACTAAACGATTTCAGGAAGCACAATCCTCCAGAGTTCATTAGAGTATATGATCCAGTGGCAACGGCTAAGTGGCTATAAGCAATGCAGAAGATTTTCTAGGTGATGGAGTGCACTAACGTGTCTTCACTCTTAGCAGCCATGAGTAGAGGTGGAAAAGTGGGCGGCCCGCCCCATCCCGCCAAAAATGAGTCAGCCCGCCCCGCCCCGCCCCGCTTTTGAAAGTGGGCTGAAAAACTCAGCCCGCCCCGCCCCGTTTGGCGGGTTGGCCCGCCAGTCCGAGCCTATTTTACACTGACCCGCCTATGCCCGCCATCAACCCGCCAAAAAATGAGTCCGCCCCGCTTTTGAGATGGGTTGAAAAACTCAGCCCGTCCCGTCCCGTTTGGCGGGTTGGCCCACCGAGCCAAACCCGTTTTGCCGGCTCTAGCCATGAGGCAGCTTGGGCACCCAATTTGGTGAAAGGAATGATTTCAAATTTTTGGGGCAAAATTCTTTTAAGGGGGAAGTAATGTAACACCTATATTTTTCTTTTAAAAGAAAATTTCCTTTCTCAACGCACCAATCTCATTATTCTCTTCCATCGAAACCACTGCTACATACCAAGCCACCACCACTTCTTCCCCTTCATATAGTCCCTTTTTTCTCCTCCATAACCATCAACCCATCTTCTTCCTTTTGCTTTTGCTTTCTCTTTTTTGGTTGTGGAGATTAGCTTATCCAAACTTGAAGATTGAAGTGATTGAAACTAAAAGTGGTGGAACCCTTACATGCAGCTGAAGAACGCGAAGGTGAAGGTGTAAGAGATTGAGGATCTTGGAGAATCATCACCATTAGGTAAATCAAGGAACCATAATCTCTACTCTATCCTAGATTCAGTTTTGTGTATTGATGGAGGGGGCATGTTCCTAGGTTCGCATGTGGGTGTGTGCTGTGTGGAGGTATATTAAATAATTGCATGTAAAAAAAAGACTCATAATATGAACCCTAATCGTGCATGACTAATTATTGAGTGATTAATGGAACATGCACTAAATCTATGGAATTGTGTAGTCTTTAATGCATGCATGTTTTCTATGGACCTTGGGAATAGTAATTGAATGGTTTGAGGGCTGGTACCAAGGGATATTGGGCCTTGGATAAACCCTGTAACATTGCAGAACTTGAACTCCACAATATGGTGTTGCTCGCTGAACTTGCTCTCTGCAGTAAGCATTCACGAGAGAGAATGCTCTCTAGAATTGCTCGCTCTAGCAAGCAGCCCCTGTTATCTCACTTGCTCTAGTCCTCCTCGCTGGTGTAGGTCGCTCTATCAAGCAGCCCAGTGAGGGTGTTTGTAACATATAATTTACTATGCAATGCTGTTTGGCCATATAATTAATGTTTATCTGTCTTATTTATTAACCTCTCCTATTAGATCATGTTATTCTTTTGAGAATTCCAATATATATATATATTGTACAGTTGTGGGCATAATGCCTAAGAGTTACCAGGTGCCATAGTTACAGCTGTGAGGGACGTCTCACTGTGATGAGCTGAATACACCTACAGGTCCATAAGGGACAGACACATACAGTAGCTTATATAGAGTCTTCAAAACCTTACAATAGCTTTAAACGGGTAATAATTCTATATATATGTGTGTGCATATTAATATTCTTCTTTCAGGAAATCTCAACAGGGCTGTAATTATGAGATAGTGTCCACCAGGACATATTCTTGAGTTATGGTAGAGTATACTTGATAGTTCTATGATTTACTAGTATTCAAATCTCACCTTATTGGAATTTCATTTCAAGAACTCAGAATAAAGATACTAGTCCAAGAAGTAATTGATATTCTGTGTGTAATTACCTTACAATGGCATGTTGACTAATAAAATAATTTAGTTAGTAGCCATTGTGGTATAATCCGGTGTATTTTGGGAGATTGCTACTTTTGTTTATGTTTTGGAGTATCATGAACTTCAATTGTAAGAAGGTGTATGTATATAGTCAGTTCAATTTTCTTAGGATAAATATTCCTATAAATTGGGATGTTACAAATATCAAAATCGATCTCATCTTTATTCATCTCATTTTTCTTCTCAAGTTCGCTATGAACATCAACCTAAACCTCATCTTCACTTAAATGCATAGCATATAATTTTTTCTATTTGAAAATTTTATAACATAATTTAATTCTAATTTTATTTAAATATCATGTCAGTCTAATCTTGACCCTGTTGGTTGCGGGTTTAAATACTGGGCCCAACCCGAGTCTAATGTAACCTGCCAAAGCGAACTAGATAGACTCCACTCAACAGTGATAGAAAAGTGTGTACACGCGCCACACTTCTCAGCCTCGCACACACAGAGGACTTGTAAGTACACGAGAGTCAAAGTGGAATCGGATAAAAAATGGCGAAGGAAGAGAGCCACGGCGTCGTTTCCGATCTGATCGACTTCTTGAACGCTTCTCCAACTGCTTTCCATGCCGTCGGTAAAAAAACAAAACAAAACGACGTCTCGTTTTTCGCGAATGCTATCGACAAAACGCACAGCACTGACTCAGTGAATCGTTCGTTGACGTTTCAGGCGAGGCGAAGAAGCGGTTGCGAAGCGCGGGGTTCGAGCAGCTTTCGGAGAGGGAAGTATGGGAATTGAAAGCCGGTAACAAGTACTTTTTCACCAGGAACCACTCTACCATTGTCGCCTTCGCCGTCGGTAAACGGTAGGTTCCGTCATTTGCTCATTATTCTCTTTCACACGAAACGTAAAGTAATAATAATATGTCGTTTTCGCAACTCACTCTTCTCAGATTCGTTGCTGGAAATGGATTCCACGTAATTGGAGCTCATACTGATAGTCCTTGTCTGAAACTGAAACCGGTGACCAAGGTAATTTTGGATTTGTTCAATTATTGAATGTGTCATCATTTCATGCATGTAATGCAACGAGTGTTTAATTAGTAAGAGAGAGATATGTGTTTTTTTGGAAGGTGGTTAAAGGTGGAATTTTGGAAGTTGGTGTCCAAACCTATGGAGGTGGTTTGTGGCATACATGGTTCGATAGGGATTTGACTGTGGCTGGGAGGGTCCTTGTACGAGAAGAAAATGCAGGTTCTGATTCGTACTCGCATAGGCTTGTTAGAATTGAGGAACCAATTATGCGGATCCCAACTTTGGCTATTCATTTGGACAGGTTTAGGTTTTGTTGCTGTTGAGATGCATTGCCTGTTTGTTTGCTTGATTATTATTATTATTATTATTATTATTATCAGTTTGTCATCTTCTTCCTTGTGTACAGGGATGTTAAAGATGGATTCAAAATAAACACGCAGACTCATCTTCTTCCCATCTTGGCTACTTCGCTAAAGGTAATCACGCAATTCTTGCTAATTTAAGCTTTTTGACTGGTCTATAGGAAATAATTATTATTGAGATGTCCAATTGTCCAGGTTTAATGCATCGAGTCCTACAGTAAATGCTTTTTTTTTTTGGAGTTAGGTTACCTGAGTTACTATTTATATGATTGCATGTCATTAGAGAGCTCAGTTATTGGTTAAATATGTATTTTGTTGCATAACAATAACTTTTCATTGCAAATGGGTTTTGTACTTTTACTAGCATGCAATGTTACAAGTTAGTTAATATCATGTTTGTGTTTTGTATCTTTGATGATGCTGATTGTTTTGGGCAGGTATACATTGAGACTCGTTTGTAGTTAAGTAAAAGAAATAAGTAGCTTCTACAAATATTTCTTATTGAGATTGAAAGTTTTTTTTTCATTATTTGGATTTAGCTTTTACGCATTCATTGAGCTTTGTCTTGCAGGCGGAGCTCAATAAAGTGTCCTCTGAAGATGGTTCAGTTGATAGTGGAAAGCAGAGTGATGGAAAGATAGAAAATGATAAAACTGGCACTAGCAATACAAAGCACCACCTTCTTCTTCTACAGGTTAACAGGCTTTGAAACTCACAATGCCTTCTTGATTTACCTTTCTTTTTTGGGATGATATGTGTCATTAACACTTGTCACAACTATTTCTAACTTGTAATCCTTTACTTGGGTCTTGGCATGTATACATGATGATTATGAGTCTAATTGTTGGTGATTGTCTTCTTTATTTTCCACAGTTGCTTGCAAGTAAGCTTGGGTGTGAACCAGATGACATTTGTGATTTTGAATTGCAAGCTTGTGATACACAACCAAGTATAGTTGCCGGAGCTAAAAAGGAATTCATATTTTCAGGACGGCTTGATAACCTCTGCATGTCATTTTGCTCATTGAAGGTTTAAGTTTTATTGAGATTACTTCTTCTAGTCAAGTTATAAATGCATGTGTATAGATATGAACTTTGAAATATAACCTTGGTTTTGAAGTTTGCCACTCTAGATACTGCTTATAAATTGAGCCATTTTGGACTTAAATTGTTCTATAGTGCAAGGATTAACAAAAGCTTCTGAATATCACCACTGTATATGTTTACAAAAACATTATAATTTATGCTTTAATTGAATGACTACAGTTAAGGTACTCTGGGTTTAATTGCAGTATCTATTGATGTAGTGGGGACTAAAGAGAGATTGATAATGTGTTTCTGTTGATGTTAGTGGATTTCTGTTAAGTCTTCTGTAGAATTGGATCATATCTCAATGAAATGAGGTCTGCGTATTGTACTATTTGCTGTGAATACTGATGTCAGCATGATATCAGTAACTATATGATGGATTTAGAATGGAAAAGATGGAATGAACACAGAAATAAAGAAACTCAGGGCATTCAAGAGGTCCTGCACTGTTAGGAACCCACGATGGAAATAGAGAAAAGAAACTAATGATTTTATTGTTTGACTGAAAATGAACAGAACAAGACGAAAGATCTCTCCTCCAAAGGTTTCCCCTTCACAAAGGGTTGCCCCTTTCACAACTGAGCACTTGCTCGGTTCTCTTAAAATACAATTCCCTAAATGGTCCTCCTACCCTTACTTCCCCCTATTTATTTATCTGACTAATCCCAACTAACTGTTCTGACCGTCTAAACTAACTAATTTGCCTTCCCTTTATTCTTCCAAGCAAATACCCTTCTGTCCCAGCATGGTAACATGTACTTCCTTTTATATCCTTACAAGTCAAAACAGAATTTCCATCCCTTATTTCCCTGATTGCCACACTGGCAGTCTATTGCATTAATTACGCCCTCCCCTATGTGCATTAGAGACCCTGATACCCTGCATCCCTTCTTAACAAACACCTAAGTGATAGGTGGTTTCCTAACTATACTTTCTCCCAAAGCTTTTCGACAAGGTGAAATGGAGGAAATTGCACCTGTATAGCTGCTGAGGATTCCCAAGAATTTTCGGAGTCTGGTAGGTCTTGTGGTCTTGCCATTTGATTAGGACTTCAGTCATGCCCTCTTGGTGGTCCTGCAATCGAGTGCATCTTCTGGATGCACTCTTAGCTACCAATCTTCTTATATAAAACCTGCCAAAGGCTGGCTTACCGCAGGCAGATATGGATTTCTTCAACAATGACGCATAGAAGACTGGATATATACGGCCGCTACCTGGTAAGCTCAGTTTGTAAGCAACCTGTCCAATTTTTTCTAGGACTTCAAAAGACCCATAAAACGTAGGGTTAAGCTTTTAAATCTTCTTCCTAAGAACTTGATCGCTTGAGCCTGTACGTTTGAATTTTAATATAAACCAAATCACCCAATTGATGGCAAACTTCTCTTCCATTCACGTCTGCCTGGACCTTCATTCTGTCAAAGACCTGTACTAAGTTATCCAGATACCCAGCTTCTGGTCTCTTTCTGCCATTAACCTGTTACTTCCTCTATAGTTGATGAATCTGTTGGACATTTAAACCGGGTGGGCGGGTCCCTGCAATAGAAAACTTCAAAAGTGGTAGACTGATTGTGCTATGGTTATTGGTATTGTACAAATCAGGGTAGTCAATCGCCCGCAATAGTGGCACTATAATGTCATTGTGTCACATCATGCATATGGCTGGTACTGGAGGTGATTCACGTCATGTTTTTGGGTTGCGACCGATGTGCCAAAATTGTGGTCGTTGTCTTGTGTTTGCTATGGTGATCAGGGGTAAAAGCACATTCCCACCCCCCCCCCCCCCCCCCCCCGGATTGTCAAACCTCTTTCCAGCATTGTTTCCAGGCGTGCCACACCCACTGCTTGCTGGCATCCTCTGCTAACCTTCTCTCCCGCACGCGTCATTTATGCCCTTCATGCAGGTCTCTTGTTCAGTATTCGTGCCCCTTTGTCTTTTTTATTTGCTGCATAGTGTTCTTCACACTTGAAGTTCCTCACATTCGACTAATTTTTCTGTTGTAATTTTCTGTTAATTCCATCATCTTCCCCCTTTTTTTACTTCTTTTCTATGGTCTCTTTGATTTTGTTAGAACATATGAGAAATATCTCATATATCTTGATTATATCTTAAAATAGTTTGGAGTATCTTAAATGATCTCATAGAAATATAAGAAGTATATAAACGAATCCTATTAGAGTCCCACACATACTTATTAATCTCATATAGTGGCGTGTAGTGGTTAACCCTCCAAACTGCTATAGCGCTATCATGGGTAGCGCTACAACGCTATTGTGCAAAGTGTACCTAAGTGATACACTAAATTGTACTCCACAAATATAAAACTTAAAATATGAAAATGTGACATAAAAAACAAATTTGAAGATCTCAATCTCAAACATAAATGATTTCAAACATTAAAATTCAAATCATAAGCAAATTGAAGGAATTAAAGTCTCAAATAATGTAATACAACAAAATAAAGTGACAAAATTAGTCAAAATTCAAATTGCCACTTAAGTGAAATGTCAAAATCAAAGAACTTAAAGGAACTAATCATAATTGAAATCATGAACATCCAAATCTTCATCTTCACTTTCACTTATATCGAAGTTGTAAATCTCTTCCTTCTACGACGAGAACACTTTTGCAGAAACTATTGTAAGCCTCAATAGCAGCCGCTACACTTCGCCTGACCGTTGCGACGCGATCTGTGGCTGTCGGCCGTTGCACTGCAACGCAACTCCGCTATAGCGTGCTAAAGCGGGGCTATTCACAAGTATGGTCCCACATTGATGTTATGGCATGTTTTGTGTGGGTATAAGATACAAACTTTGGGAGAGCCTCACTGACACGAGCTGTCGAACTCGCGCAAATTAAAAAAAAAAATTTATTAGGGTTCAGAAAATTTGTAGTAGAGAGGAAACCCTAAGTCGTCTCTCTCAAGGAAATTGCTTGGATAAAAATCGTTTATCAAAACAGAAATTAAAAGGGGGGATTTTTGAATCTTGGTTGAATAATTTAAACGGCAGAATATGAAATTGGATTTAAAATTCGTAATTAAAAATAACCAACCTAAGGTTTGGGTTCCATGGACGTCTTTCCTCGGATAAGAAGATATCAGAATCGTGATTGATTTGTCAATCGGATCAGAATCCTTATTTCCAATTGACAACCCTCTCTAAGCGATCGCTTAGCATTTGATCAAAGACGATGTTTCTACTCATACAATCGCAGAGTATCAGCCCGCTTGATTTAAGGTCATAGGGTCAATCAACCTAATCATCAAATCTGATGATTAATCCCTTTCCATAATCGCAATCGCGAACCTCAGATTGAATATCCACGATCGCACGATATCAATCTGAGTTGGGAAGGGAAACAAAACTGATTTGAAATAAACGCAGATCCTCAAGACTAATCCATGGAATCCATTACCCTTAGGTTGATTAAAAGGTTCTTAGCCTCGCATGGCTAAGGTAAACATGATTGAAATAAAAAGAAGAAGAAGAAGAAAAAGATGAAGAACGCTTCAGAGAAAATACTTTTATCCTCAATTTTGAAAATTACAGAATGACTACAATGTTTCCTACTCTGCCGTCATATACCCCTTCAGTTCTGACCGGCCCATATGTCTAAAATACGAAATAAAATACATAAAATAAAATAAAACTTCAGCAAAACGTGTCCGACTTGGCGCACGAAATCGACTAGCTTCCAATCCGAATTGGGCTTCGAGCTATTCATAAGAATTGTAGCCCTTTGTGTTATCTGAAAAACCCAACAAGAACGGAGTCAATCCGACAACTGTGGACCAAGATATGGCCAAAATACAGAAGTAACGTAAAGCTGAAAAATTCTGACGAAAATAAATTAAACCCAATCAAAAACTAAAAATGTAAATTAACTCAAAACATCATTATTTTATTCAAATAAATCCTAAAAATACTAATCAAGAGTAACAAATAAGTGTAATAAAATATGAGTTATCACTCACGCCCTCACCCCCAAAGCTAATTCGTAAGGTAGGGGAGGTCAAAGTCCATATAAACCCCACACCAAAACCTTGTGTTTCCAATGTGGAACTCCAAGTCTCATACTTTGCAATGAGATCGTAACATTCCACTATGCTTCGCAGCCCCGGTACCTACTTAGGCTGGCTTTGTGCTAGTCTTTTACTAGCCCTGGGTGAACACTGCAATGTCAGCGTCACCAGTCGCGCTGCTCAATTGCAACTGGGAGACATAGTGGAAGGCTCTGATACCATTGATACGAACCTTGGGAGAGCCTCACCTCAAACGCTAGCTCATGAGGTAGGACAGCCCAAAATTCATATAAACCCTACACCAGAACCTTATGTTTCCGATGTGGGACTCCAACTCGCATATCTTGCAATGACATCGTAATAGTATATAACTATATATAGGCTTTGGGTTCTTTGATTCTTCCCCCTCAACAACTGACTTTTTAGAGTGGGTTCTCGGAAGGTTGTATCATTGGTTTGGCTTTGTCATTCTTTGATATGCTTCACTTTACCAATCTTAGGTTTAGCTAAAGAATTTTTCTTAGTGGAGCCTTGCCCTTGGTCCGAGGGAAATTTTTTATCAACTTAAGATCCAATAGGATCTCTTCCCTTTTCAGGAAAAGGTGTGGTGTGGATGACCTCTCAGATACGAACGCCACAACGTGCATGTGTCTTACTAAAGGATTTAGGGACTTTAAGATTTAAGATTATGCGACTGTCTGCCAGGAAATTAGAATGTGTGTGCAGATGATGTGTAAAAATTTTAAATAAAATAGTGCAGTAGTTGTTGATTATCCTACGTTAACATCTTGGTTTCTGTTTCAGGCATTAATAGATGCTACATCCTCTGACACCAGTCTGGAGGAAGAGACTGGCATTAGAATGGTGGCTTTGTTTGACCACGAGGAATGTGGATCTGATTCTGCCCAAGGAGCTGGCTCTCCTGTGGTGCATGATGCTTTCTCTAGGATCACAAATTCTTTCAGCTCAAATTCAAAGGTATAATGCCCTTTTTTATGCTTAAGGAATATACTTATTTAGTGTTACTGAGCAAATGTATTGTTGTTTACTTTCCATTGAGGATAAACGCATGTAGGTAGTACCTTTATCACATGACACTATAGATGTTAGGGTAAATTACACTTTGAATTTTTTGTCCAAATCAACTTTAGTTCAGTAAAATTCTACACTTTACATCTATCAATTTTTAGAAGCATACACCAAAACCCCGTAAATATTCATAAACACTGTAAATGGTAATTTCTTGCCTAAATTACACAAAATTACCAAGATGCATTGTTTTCTGTACTTTAAAACATAGTATTAGAAGAGGTCGAGTTCTATGCATAAACTAGGAAAAAAGAAAAAAAAAATAGTGGAATATGCTGTGAGTTCTGATTGAAACAGCTAAAAATAAAGCATTGGAAAAAGTCTGGACTTTTCTTTTTTGGCAAAGAAAATGATCACATCCACATTGAATGACCTTTTAATTGTTAGTTTTAACTAAATATTAACAGTTTGAGTGTTTCTGAATCTTCAAGGGGTTAACAGGGTAAAGATTATGTTTCTGAAACATGAGTGGAGTAATCTGTAAGGTGTACAAAAATTGTGGTAAAAGTGTTATTTAAATCTAGGTAGGCGTTGTGGTTATTTCAACCCTCATTATTCAGTACAGCACCACTCCATTAGTCAGTATTCGAGATATTTAAATGGTGGAATAACCACAATTTAATTATGCTTTCAATCTTTAATTAGTTTTCGTTATGGTGATTTTGTTTTAGCTTCTTGAGAAAGCAATACAAAGAAGCTTCCTTGTATCTGCTGATATGGCACATGCACTACACCCAAACTACACGGTACGTCTTCTTATGTGCCTTGATTTACTGTTGCCGATAATTCAAATTGTTGATCCTTATCGAAGACCTAATTTCTCATAGGACAAGCATGAAGAAAACCATCAGCCTAAACTACATGGAGGACTTGTCATTAAACAGAACGCAAATCAACACTATGCAACCAATGCTGTCACATCCTTCATATTCAGGGAGATAGCATCAAAACATAACCTTCCTGTTCAGGTCAGCTTAGTGAAAAGTTTTATCTTTGTCCCTTTTCCTCCTCTCTGATTGGAACAAATTGTGTCTGCGGAGGAAGATACAATCGTTAGAAAAGTCCTCTCCACTTAATATCCGTAGTTTTTCAAGGAGCAAAATTATTACCTGTTTTGAATTATCAGAAGAAACAGTGGTGAGTGGAGGATTGGAATTGTGTGAGCACTAGTATGAGATAATGAATTATAACGAGGTATGTTGATGTAGGACTTCGTGGTGCGCAATGACATGTCTTGTGGTTCAACTATCGGTCCAATCCTTGCAAGTGGCGTAGGTATTCGCACTGTTGATGTAGGTGCACCGCAGTTGTCAATGCATAGCATAAGAGAAATGTGTGCTGTTGATGATGTGAAGTATTCATATGAGCATTTCAAGGTCTTTTTTCAAGATTTCTCCCATTTGGATGCTAAGATTGTCGTTGACATATAGGTTCATCTCGACTGAGGAATTGCTCGTCGATCCTTTGCTCTAGATGTTGTTGCTGAAGTGGTCGTCATGTGTAATTTAGTAACATTTTTTTAACGCTGACTTTATAATTATGAAGTCTTCAATAATTTTGACTCGATGAAACCAATATTAGCATCTGTTTTATGTGTGCTTTCTGCACTTTTCATGAACAGTCCACATTCGTGCTTCTAATGGGGTACTATTCAGATGTGAAATAAATCTAGAGCTAATAAATATATTATGAATTTTCTAGAGCAATATTTAATTCAGAAATGCAGAATAATACTGTTTTTTGAAACTGCTGCTTTCATGTGTATAATATGTGCCTAACTGCCTGCGCATATGTTAGGTAAGAGTTCTCTTGTAAAAACAATTTTTCAGAAAGAAATTCTTTCAAAAATTAAAATAAGTGTTTGTAATCCAAAATAAGTTAATCCAAACTTCGAGAATTCATTGATTGAATTTAGGTGCTAGGTTAACGAGTTTCCAGTTGATTAAAGCAAATATAGTGGAGAAAAGTTAGGGTTGTCTGGATGATGTATGTCACGGAATCAAAATTAGATACAATGAGACGCTTGAATTATGATTCAGCGGCAGCTTGAGTTACTATCAAATTTCATGTTTGGATTATTGAATAGCCATGGCAGAATCAGAAGTATCAACTACAGCTGCAACACCTGCGAGTTTTTCAGCTATAGCTACAACAGCTTCGAATCTTCCCTACTTCCACCCAAATCCTTCCAACCCATACTTCTTAGCATCCCAACGAATCACCATCGCAAGCGTTAGTTTCTCCGCTATTGAATGCAAACAATTACCATATGTGTTCTCGAGAAATAACGATGGTGTTAATCTCGAAAAACAAGATTGGATTTGTCAGTGGTACTATCGTTCCTCCATCTGAAACTGATCCGAGCTATTTTGCTTGGCAGAGATGCAACAATATAATGAGTGCATGGATCCATATATCGAGTTCTGAATCTATAGTGCAGTCCATTATATGGATGGAAAATGCAAGAGACATATGGTTGGATCTCCATGAAAGATTTTCAAGATCAGATGTGTTTCGTATGTTAGATCTTCAAGAAGAGATCTACCACTTGCAACAAGGAAAAAAGTCAGTCACGAAGAACTTCACACAATTGAAAACACTATGGGACGAGCTTGATAATCTCAGGCCTGTAAATGCACTATTCGATGTTCTTGTGGAGGATACTCACAGATGGAGTATCGTGAAAGTGACCACATTATCTGATTCTTAAAGGGCCGTAATAAGCATTATTCACAGGTGAGATCACAAATTATGTTGATCAATCCACTGCCTGATGCTACAAAAGCATTTTCAATGGCGGTTCAGCAAGAGAGGTAGTTTTATGGAGAAGTATGTTCTATCAATTTTGGTCCTCAATCCTTTGCTGCTACAACTGATCAGAATTCTTTTCGAAGAAACCAGGGCTGTAGAGATTTTAGAGGACATGGAAGAAGCTTTGTAAGTGGACGAGGTTAAGGGAGCAATAAAATCTACACACATTGTGGCAGAAATAACCATACGGTTGAAACTTGTTTTAATATCCATGGATTTTCTCTAAGATACAGACCTAAAAATGCAGCCACACAAAGTGTTCATAATGTAACTCGAGAGCCAAATGTTGATCGTGTTGTTGAGAAAGCACAAAATCTAAATATAGTTTCATTCTCCAATGACCAATACTAGAGAATCTTAGATCTACTTGAGAGAAACACCTCTATAGCTGATCCAACAACAGTTCACTCAACCAACTTTGTTCAGGTTTCCAATGTCCAAACTGAACACGTGTCAACTGTAGGTATCCAAGACATTCGATGGATTCTGGACACAGGTGCAACTGACTATGTTACTTGTTTTAAGTTCCATTTTTCCTTTATTCAAAGAATTAAACCAGTGTCAATTAAACTCTCAAATGGTACATTTGTTATTGCTTCATATTCAGGAACAATTCTTATATCCCACACATTTAGTCTATTAAACGTTCTCTATATAACCGAATTTAAAGTGAATATATTTTCGGTAACCAAATTGTTATATGATTATCCTTATTGTCTAATCTTTCGTTCATCTTCCTATGTCATTCAACAGCTCCATACCCAGGTGACAATTGGTATAGCTGAACAGAAAGACAGACTATACGTGATGTCTAGCAAGATTGACAAGAAGTGGATCGTAGAACCTACAGTGGATGTCATAAGATCCTCACCCTTCATCTATTCCTAACGCTTTATGTAAATATCTTTAATTATACTTTTACTTTGTAAAATCTAATTGTTACGGAACTCAAATTTATGGTGTCAAGACTGCCAATATGATGAAACGGAGTCTGAGTTGATGAGTTTGTGACGAGAGTGCACCCACTTGTTAGAATCGAAATCCTAGTACATAGTGGACAAGTTGGTTTGGTAAATGTGTTGTCATTTTGTAATTAGATGTGTAGGTGTTGAGTCTAGATTAGACTAAGAAATTTTCTACAATTTCCGCTTGTTAATGCCTCGAAGGCAATTTTCCGAACAACGACATAGCATTACGGAGCTACGAATAAGGAGCTTGGAAAACCAGTTGGTCGTTGATCTGGTTCAATTCTTCTTTCAACCGAGTTTCATGTGGATTAGTAGCGTTTGTCTAAGTTACAGTTATGGGAATGTATCCTCTATATGATATAATATGAGATCATATGAGAAACATCGAGATATAAATTAATAGTTTTTTTTTTCATTCTTTATTTTAATGCATTCTTCTATCATTGTTGATTTGTATTTAGATCAGTGGTAAAGCAACCGAGGGGCTAGGTCCCCGTTCGATTTAATGCAAACCTTAAAAAGAAATACAATATAAGTTTACCCCATCAAGCTTAGCATTTGAAATTTTCTTTTTCTTTTTCTTTTGGTATGTAGCATTTGAACTTTTCGTTCTTATTATTTTTTATGTACGAAAAAAAATTGGGAATTTTTTTAAATCAATTTACGTATTAACCCAGTATTGTATTATATTGCCTGAAGTAATGTGAATTTTACCCCCTTTTATCATAAATTTTTCTGACACTATCATTAATTTAGATTATTAAAAAAAATTCGCATTATAAAGGTAAGATCTTTTGACACCTCATCTGAGAGTATTAGATCAAAAAAGATCAATGGTGCCACATGCTTACAAATCAGAGTCGTTGATCTTTTTTGATCTAATAACTTTCAGATAAGGTGTCAAAAGATCTTATTTCATATATATATATATATATATATATATATATATATATATATATATATATATATATATATATGGGATATGATCAACTTACACCAGTGTAAAAATAATAAATCTTACACTAAAGCTTAACTGTTGATTTCCGTGCATCTAACGATTGAGATTTATTGGGAATTAAAAATTAATTAATGAGTGAGACCTAATAAATATTAACCGTTAGATGAAGAAAATCAATGGTTAAGATTTGGTGTAAGACTTCTTATTCTTACACCGGTGTAAGATGATCTTGCCTCATATATATATATATATATATATATATATATATATATATATATATATATATATATATATATATATATGGGTTAAAGTTTTGTTACGTGACAGCAAGTAAAAGAATTTTGCAGCATACACAAAAAGCATCACATCACTTCATTTTCTTTTTTCAATTTTTTAATCAACTGTAGACTCCACCATTGATTGTGTGTGCTGCAAAAAAGTTTCACTTTGCAAGCAACATAATAAAACTAAAACCATATATATATATATATATATATATATATATATATATATATATATATATATATATATAGGGTCAGGATCATTTTACACCAGTGTAAGTTACACTCTTAATTTTGTCCGTTGATCCAACTTATATCTAAGGGTTCTAATTTTTTAGTTATGTGAGCCATTGGATACAAGTGGATCAATGGTCAAGATTGAGTGTAAGACTTCTAACTCTTACACCGGTGTAAGAATATCCTGCCCCTATATATATATATATAAATATATATATATCCACTATTTTATTTCTTGTCTGATTGATGATAACTTTTACGTTCACAGTTCATATATCACCACCGGTGTCACAAAACTTTAGTGGATAAAATTTGAAGTTACATGAATAATAATTTTTTTTTTTTTTTTTTGATAACAACATGAATAATAATTTTAATATATTACTGTTAGAACATGCTTTAAATTAAATTAAAAAAATTGTCCAAAATAATACAGACAAAAATCAATGGAAGTGGAGGTAATGATTTTGGGATGCTGGTGCTTCATGTAAGGAGCAGTTTTCAATCATGATCTGTTGTATGATGAAAGATGATTAATTAATGGTTCAGAAAAGGTAACGTGATGAATTTGGATCTTCTTATGTGAAAAAGTGATCATGTTATTTGATTATAATCACTTATTGAAGACGAGATACGAGAAAAAAAATATGATTTTTAAATAAGTGATATATGATCAAATTACATGACCACATGATTATTTTTTTTATACGAGAAGATCTAAATCCAAATTCACATGATACATCCAGTTGTTGTTTTTTTTTTTTTTATGGAAGGTACACTTACACCCACAATGAAAGTAAGGTTTATTCCCCAAACATGCTTCAATATGATCAAGACGTCTCTGAGAACTATACCAAGTACTAAGGTGGTGGAGCTCAATGCAACCAAATTTACTAGTAATGGCTACCTTATGCCCACATCATTGACCATATTCCACCTGTTTTGAAAATTGAATTTGGAAATTTTTATATTATATGATTAAAATATTTCAATCAATTAAATTGATACTTTAATTGATTGAAATATTTGAATTAAAAATACAATTAATTCATGACCTACCTATAATTGAATGGAATAATCCAATTCAATTTTTAAATCACTGGTCTAAATCAGATAGGGCTGATTCACCAGTAATCCCACACCACAACTTTCATTCAACACCATGTCCTAACAGTCTTTCTCTATGTCCTTCAAAGTGGGCACCAATCAGAAGCTAACTATAAAACCAACGGCTGTGATTGTTCCATTTGTACCAAACTCTTTCATGCAAATGTGGTCCACATTATATCCTGAATTAGTTGTTGCCGGAATTATTGAATGACTCCAACTTCAAAGATTCATGACCATCCGTAATATCCTACCTTGACAAGCGGTGCTAGTGTTAAATAAAGTAGACC